GATAGTACATGTTAAAGATTAATTTGCTTTGATTAAGCTTTAATAATTAATATAATATTGGATAATATTTTTACCTGATAACCTTTTGGTTCAAGTTTTATTCTATGTGGCATTATTGTTTTGCTGAACATCCCATGACTTCCTATCCCTGATAGATAAATATAATACCTCCAGAGAATTACTGAAGCAAATTAAACTATTATTCTGTGTGAATGTTCCCTGTTGGAGTTTTACTACACTGATAGACTTTTTCAGAGAGTGTGAAGCCAGGTTTATAAATAAAAGTTCTTATTCAAAAACAGGATTCCAAAAAGTCCCTTTTCTAGATAAGTTTAGGATTTAAGAATAAGCTTGAGTGAGATCAAAGATCCATTCACCCCTTTATCTTGTTTCTGACAGCAGCTAGTAGCTGATGAGAGGAACACAGGAACGGGTCAAATGCACAATGATATTTCCTCTCCTATACCCTCCCAGACCCCTGTAGTCTGCCACCCTGGAAAACAGCCTAGGTTTTTGTGCGGTAGTCCTTGAATAATTTTTTCTTTAAATGATTTGCCAGATCATGTTTGACTCTATGTAATTTTGGTATCTAAAATACCTTGTGGCAAGGGTTGTATAATTTATGTATTGACTCCAACTGTATGCATACAACACGTGTATTTTTGCAAGTTCTGTAATTAGAAGTAGGTTTTCCAGGATTTAGTGGTACAACTACTTCAAACGATCTTGAGAGAAGCAAGAATAATTGCTGAAATGTTTCAAAACATACATAATTCAAGTTAGTCAATCTTTACTTTAAAAATATTGTTGAGAAGCTAATCACTTTTTAAAATATGTTTTTACTCACAGTATATGAGCAGGTAGTTTTATACACCTTTCAGTCAATATATTGCTTGCCTGTGTACAACAATCACCCTCATAATACAAAAAAATACACAGAATGAAGTGCACTGCTAAGCATAGTCATCAGTCTGCCTAGATTAGTAGTATGGCCATCACCTTGCATTTTCTTATGCCAGAGCTTCAGAAAACCAAGTTTGCTACTATTTCTGCTGAGGCTGGAACCTAAGTGTGGAGCAGTGATTATTGCATTAGGGAAAAAACAATCATAATCCCACTCCTGCTGTCTCTCCAAGAAAATACAATCCCTTTTCTCTAGGGTCTGTATTCACTGTTCTCCAGATCATCTTTGCTACCTCTTTGTTGTCCTCTTCATTGTGTTCACTGTTGAGAAGGCCTGAATAGACTTTGACAGAATGGTATATACATATGTACATACATACACACCTCCATACATGTGTATATTCGTGCACATATACATACCTATGTGTGTGTATGTATGTGTATATATATGCATGTATATACGTATATATGTGTATATATCTCCACAAGCACAGACACACACTCACACACACATGCGTACATGTGCTCTTGGTACACTAGGGCGCTTACATGACTGCAGAACACAAACCACTTACATCCATATGCTTTTTTAGCTTGTGTGTAGGATCTATTTCAGGGATTGTCTGTCAGCCAGGACTGAGATATGCTTGAAGGTGTTCTCTGAGTCCAGAGTTTACCTGTCGTTCCTCTCACTCCATCTCATTACCATTCTACCTTTTACTAAAGGTTGTCTGCCATTAAAATTAGATATTGGGCAGAATATATCCAATTTGTCACAGGCAGAGCAAGTACAACTCAAGTGAAGTCAGAGAAGCTGTTTGTTTTAGAAATGAATGTAACCCACTGATTTGAATATGTTAAGTAATGCAGAGTTTGTGTGAATTATAACAAAATCAGGTTTTTAAATTTAGCTACAGGCAAATAGGCTGATTTCTTGTTTCACAGTTGTAACCCACCTGCCGTTCCCTACCTTGGAATGTACCTGACGGACCTGGCATTCATTGAAGAAGGAACACCAAACTTTACTGAGGAAGGCCTTGTCAATTTTTCCAAAATGAGAATGGTAATTTTCAATTCCTTATACGCTCTCCCAACAGGTGTTTAATTATGTGAGTGAAGTATTGATTTAATTACAACTCCTTTGAATTTACCTTCTAAGATTTAAGTTCTAGGATGTACAAGTATATTGGCATCGTGCAAGATAGGTAGCTATTTGAAAGCAATTACTCGATCCAGTCTTCTATCACCACCTTCTGGTAAACTGGATGTTTTTACAGGGTAAGTTTGTTCTTTGAAAAGTGACAGACAGAAAAAGCAGCCATCTAAAGTTCATGAAGGAGCAACAAAAGACTTTTTGAAATAACCAAAATTAAAGGAATGTAGTGATTCACCAGAAAGCAGTAATCACAGTCTTTTCAAGCGTGCTAGGGTCTGTCTAAAAAAGCATTTTAAAGTTGATTTCTGTCCAACTACCACATATCGTCATTTTTTAACAACTCCTCAGAGGCAAGCATGGAAGTTTTTCTTCTGATCTCAGTGTAGTGCCCTTATTATGGCTACACATTGCAGCAGTCACTCAAGGCAAAGGGAAGAGAGGTTATCAGTATGGGGAGAGAGAGACAAGGTGATTCACTTGAGGCTGACTGAACAGTAAATGGCTGATTTAGGAAAGTGAAATCCTTGGAAGCCATTAGTAGATGATCTCTGCCCTTCCCTTCCCTCCTCCTAGAATAAATTGCATAATTTAGTGCAAAATTCTTGCCGTATGAGGCTTAGCTGAAGTCAAAATGCAGTTGTGCTTACTCATATACATGTATTCTTTTCGAAGATCTCACATATCATCAGGGAAATACGCCAGTTCCAGCAGACCTCCTACCGCATAGAGCATCAGCAGAAGGTAAGGCTTTTCTTAGGCACTGTCACCTACTAATGAAATCACAGCTGTGGTAGCAATTAGTTGTAAGATAAAGCTGTTGTTGAAAGCTAAAATCGATGTATTCTGCTCCCACACACAGCAAAGAGAAGACAGGCAGAAATATGGACAGGTACTCTGGGGCTGTAATAATACCCTCACCCTGGCAGAAACTCTTTATTTGACACTGTATATAGGAGCAAGTTTTTTCCTTTTTCTCTGGAAGCTCTCTCGGGTTTGCAGCCTTCGTGGGTCTGGGGTACAAGGGAATGGGTTCAAAGAGAAATGTGTTCTCCTTGCCCAGTTGGAAGCATAATTCCCCAGCGAATCCCAGAATATTGGGATCAGGGGACAGGAGATGTCCTAAACATCTGCTGATGCTGTGTGCATCCTGCAGTTCTTTTCCCCTTGACCCTCATGGGAGTGATGAAAATTTGCCCAAAGCCAGTCTTTGCTTTCAGAGGAGATTTCATCTCCGATTCCAAAAGAGCAACATGGGCTTAGGTAACCAGGCTAAGGACTTGCCTATTCCTGAGAGGCTGTACTTGATTTGTAGAGCAGTGCTGTTGCAGCTTTACACCACTCAAACGAGCAGTTGTGTTTCTCAAGAAAACAACGCAAGGGATCTCAGGATCTGAAATGAGCTGAAGGGGAAAAGGAAAGGAGAGAAATTTTTGTGCAACTAACATACAGTTGTCTTCATCTGTGTTTTCTCCATTCCAGGTCACTCACTATTTACTTGACAAGACACTCATCATAGACGAAGATACCTTGTATGAGCTTTCCTTAAAGATTGAACCCCGACTCCCTGCCTGAAGAGCCAGCTTTGCCTCAAAGTCTACAGAAAGCTTTAGTACAATGAACAAAATCATGCATGCCAAGTCCTAAAGACAGCAAGGGAAATATTGAGAATAATGCAAGCTCTCTTTTACAATAAGAGATACAGAGCCACACAGCATTTCCCTCTCAGGCAAGGAAAAAGAGCATTGGAGGTGGAAGACAAAGATGCTTCCTACCTGGATTAAGTGATTGCTGCTTTGCAAAGATAATGTTTTGCAGTAGGGACTATGCATATAATGCAAAATAGGTGACTTTCCTGTGAATGAGTACTCGTCGTAGCCATCTTGTGTGACAAATTAAGGGGACAGGTTTAAATGATGGCAATATACTCAGGTATATTAAGATAAATGAGCAAAATGAGATGGCTGTGATGTGGTCTGGACTGATGGCTAACTATGTATTCACTGAGGCAGAAATGGTAGTGGTGTCCTCATACCATGTTAACTTCATTGAAAAAACAGGATCTTAACAGTCATCTGCTATCTTGGAGTGACATTAAAGTAGCACCTAGTATCTTCAGGTCTGCAGTTGTTCAGAATACTTGCTATACATTTAATGCTACCCTTTATAAAATATTACCTTCTTTAAATGTCTTGTCAGCCTTTTCTAAGGTGACTGATTTTACCTATAAATGAATTGTAAATATTTTATCACAATAAGAGTATTTACAGCATGGAAAGCAATTTAACTAGTTGAATAGCTGTAAATAGTTGCCAGCCTTTGCCAGCTTCAGCTGGGAAATACAAGGTTAGGAGCTCTACCTGAGACTCGAGAAATCCAGACGTACAGTGAAGGGGAAGGTTAGTCATGTTGCACACAGCCCTGGAAAAGGCACTTTATTTTTCTGCACCTCCTGCAGCTTCTCTGACAAGTCAGGCTACAGAGCACTTTCTGCACACACTGTGGAGAGAAATACATGTCTGGTCTGGCAATGGGTAGTGGTCAGCAATGAACATGAGGAGTTGGAGTGACAGTTCTGTTTTACGTGGAATCAGTAGTTTTAAAAATGTCTATTTTTTTTGTTCAGCCATTTGGCACTGACTTAGCTCTAAAATTATTCACATCAGTGGCAAACTTTGAATGCCAGCAAACACAGACTATGTATTTTTATCTGAGCTACTAGTTATCATTTGTATATGGGCATATGTTTAAGAAAATGTACTATTTGTAAATGTTTTCAAAGCCCATGCTTTTGTGACATACCAGGTAGATAGATGTCATTTCTACAGCTAGTTGGTACTTCCAAAATTTTTCTCATCAAGAGTGGCCTGTTGTAGCTGCATGGAAAGTGAGCTCAAACGCATGCTGTAAAACGCAGGTATTAGCACTGCTGAAAAAAATTGGCTGGAAAAGTGTCCTTACTTTTCCAATGATATTCAGCCAGTTGAAGAAATAGGGCTATATCACTGTATACCTCCCTTAAATCCTCTCAGGGAGACAGATGTTTAAAATAGATTGTGACCTAGGCCTATTTGATCTGACATTTCTTACCACAGTCATGATGCTTCTTAACGCTGGCGATGAAAATGGATCTGCCTGGCTTGTGATTTTTGTCTTTATTTGCACTTTAATTATATTGCTGGCCCAGCCCAGAGGTGCACAATAAATTCCATTCATTCTGTCTGAGTGTAACTGCTAGCATTTATAAATGTACCTTAGCAAATATAAATTTCATCAAGGTTCTTCACCATGAGGACCACCTCTTTGTAAATAACTGCATGAGGGAATGTCACAAATACTGGAAAATTCCTCAATTAGAAATGCAGACAGCAACAGAAAAGGAAATTCCAGAAACCCTTTAGATAATTCTGGCTAATGGTTGCTGTAGAAATGAACGTGGAAAATGTTACTTATAGAAGCTTTTTATTGTCAAAAATGTGCTTGTTCTTTTCACTAATGACTGACAAGAAGCTGATTGCATCCCAATGCATGATATGAAAAAAAAAGCATGGTATATTTGGACCACAGAAACAACTTACTGTATATCTTCTGTATGAAAGCAGTTAAAATACGGTAGTTTCAAAACACACTTTGAAGTAATGAAGAAACAGGGAAAAAGTGGTCTAAAAAGTGATTTATTAACTTGATTTTATTGTTTCTCTGTTAAAAAAGAAAATGTGTAACGACCATCAATGTCAATTAGCATCTCTGTTGTATGCTGTTAACTGCTGCTTTATCTGCCTGTACCCAATTTTACCAAACTTCCTGGATGTTCTTAGGGTACAGGGCACAATTCTTCATCTTACTCTTTTCACAGTTCGTTGTTTTGTACTTTGTGTGTATCGGTTCTTCAGAGTTACAAAACATTCAATGCATTTTAACGCTTGCAATACGCAGGGATGGTGCTGTGCTCATGCTACAGTATTACAAATGGACAGAGAGGAAGGCAAAGGATTAGACATAGATTTTTTCAAAGGTGCTGAGCATCCATATCTTAAACACAGTAGACAATGTGGTCATTCAGCCCCTCTGGAAAAGCAATACTATTTATATGCCAAAAGTTACCTCTTGGGTCAGTGGCGCAATTTAGATTAGAATCACTAGAGTGACTAGATAACTTAATTTGTGTTCAGAGAAAAAAAAAAACAAAACAAAAAACAACCAACAACAAAACGAAACAAAAGAAGGTTATGGTCACAGTAATGTTTGATTTGCTGATGACTAACATTAATCTTTTTGGTTGGGGATGCAATGCGTTTGTTAAAATACAGGAGGTGACTTCTCAAAGACGTGAGCGTGCATTGTGTTACCCACACCCTATAGCCAGTGTCGCAGCCCTCATCAGAGCTGGGAACAGCTGCTCTGCAGAAATCCTACACAGCGAGTGTGGAGCGGCGTGTCTGCCCCGCAGTCGGGTTGTATACTTCACCCGTAAGCGGCCCGAGTGCCTGTGCTACAGTACTGCTGCAGTGTTTGAGCTGTGGCGATAGTTAGGAGGCAGCAGCAACCTGCTTTATGTGAGGCTTTGCCTAGCACACCTATATAACCAGCTAGCGCAGTGATCTCCCTGTACAGCGCACAGGGATTGTGGAGCTTCTTGCCACCAGCTTCTCTGTGCCACTCCACCACAGCCATATAACATATCTGTAGAGAGAGAAATCCCACCCACTGTTTGCCTCTGGTGTTTTAGGGAGGATGTCTCCAAGTGAGGACCTCGTCCTTTGGATCTTGCTGTCTTTTAGGATGTTGTCCATCATAGCTTTCCATGCCGTGGAAGCAGAGCAGACTTGCTTTTCTGCAATCACAGCTGAAGAAGCCTGGCTGATTCAGGATTTGTAAGAAGGAGAAGGGCTGAAGCACCTGTCACTTGCCTTTCTTAGCTCCTCAGCCCTGCTGCGCCAGTCGGATGCAAAAGCAGTTCTCACGCTGGAGGGGCTGTTCCCTTCTGCACTCTCCGGACAAAAACACCTCAGGGTGTACGGGCTGGCCGGCTGCAATGGGGATAGCATATTTCACCCACTGGTCCCGCAGTGGGCACGTTCGCCAGCAAAGTCCGAGGGGAGTTTTGCAGTACTTTTCATTGCATAATTAGCAGCCTGGATTCAGCCTGCAGTTATCTGGGAACCTAGGCAGCAGCACGGACATGTCCCCTTCCATGTGACGGAGAGCACTTGTCCCACGTTGATACGGGGTTTAGAGTTGCCTTCACCCCAGCCTTCACTCCCCACCCCCTCCCTCTCCTCCTTCCACTAAATCCACCAGTGTTTTTAGTGGACTGGGCCCCTGATTAGTCGTATGTGGAAGGAAAACTAGATCCGTCGAATTTACAGTGGCAGTAAGCGTATATTCTATCCCTTTCTTTCGGCTAGTCCTGTAACACAGGGGCGCATAGCTTCATAGTGAGATATGATATGGGGACTGATCACCCGTCTAAAAGAACAGAAGAGGTCTCCATCCTCTTCGGGCTTTCCTAGTTCTTAATACTGATTATTCTGTAGGATGAAAAAAGAACTTAACTATTTAAGTATTTATTAACATTAACCATGTTGATTTTGATTTCAGGACACGTTCATTACCCCAAACTTTCCTTCATAATCTTTATTTATTTTTAAAGGATTTGAAAAAAAAAATGTCTTATTTGTATGGATATTCAGTCTTTCCTCCTTTCACTAATATCAGCAACATTAAACTTAGATGTATGATTTAAAATTCTGACTGATAGAGACATTTTTACCCACTTATAATTATTAGTAAGGGCAAAATCCTTCAGACCTCATTCTGATAATACCTTAGGCTTCACTGAGAGCTTTTCATAAGTAAGTATTTGGGGATCTGGCTCTCAGCTATTTGCCTGTTAACAGTTTTTGCCTCCAAAGGTCAAATGTCTCTGTGTAGGATGCTTTGTGTCCAATACGCTGCTCAACTCTGGTTGTTCTGTTGTACCTTTACTTTTGAAGTAGTCTCCAAAGTTTTGTTCTTTAGGAGAATAGATACACGTTTATTTGACAGATGTACCTATATCTAACATGTTACTTAGTGCACAATCCAGATGTTTTTGCATGTATTGTAACTTATCTTTTGACTTGAGGTTATTGCTTTGTATTGTTAGTAAGGCATATCAGGCAGGGTGTTGTGCCTATATGCTAATTAAACATTCTTTTTTTCCCCTGAGTTTCAAGAGTCCATACTGGTATCTGTTTATTTTTTTACCCCTCAATGGTGAATAATTAAATCTTCTCCTTCTGAATTACTGAGTCTTTTAGAGAAACATGGGAGAGGAAGGGACAAGCCATTCATAAGAAGGCTCATTCTGGGTCTCTTTACTGGGAAAGAATGGTTTGAATTACTGCACTTTGTTCTTTGTTTGCTCGTGCTGCATTGCAGCTGCTGTCGGCATCATTGGGAATAGCGCTGATTTTAACTTGGAACATAGAATGAAGCCTACTTCATACACAACTAGAAATACTGATCCACTGTGAAGCATACAGCATAAATAACTAAATAAAACGTGCAACAGATTAAACTGAACCAGCCAC